AAAATTCCAACCACGACGTCCTGCGTCGTTTATGTCTTGTTGATGTTGTTGGTGGATATTTATTATTCTTCGTGTACTTGGTACTGGTCTGAAAATTGTGGATATTGGCAGACCTGTCATGAGTTCGATTATTAATTCTGAATAATAAAACAAAATAATGAATATGTGAGCGGTTAGAATGTTCTTTCTAGCTATGAGATTGATCCATGATCAAATATGTTCAAAATGCTTAAATATGTTCAAAATACTCACTTAGATACCAAAAAACATAAATCATGAAGAATAGAAACATCGTTATTTGTATAAGCGGACGAAAGCAGTAGAATATGTGTAGTAAACAAATGTCTAATTGCGAGAAAAGCGAAAAAGCGAGAAAAGCGAGAAAAGAAGGGAACAGTTAAAATTACAATTTTATGTTGCATTTGAATATAATAAATTATTATTTTGAAACTACATACCTGTGATAACTGCAATCATTATGGATTTTTTTCAAAGATTTGCTTAGTTGGAATCTTTCAGAGGTAAATTTAATGTTAATAAAGGTATGAGGGTAAATTTAACGTTGTTTAAAGGCAAGAACGAGAGTAATATATAAAAAAAATCCTTTCTAACGTATCTATAAATTTCATGATCCAGTGAACAAGTGGTTTTTTTGCCAGTAACCATATTTTGCATTATTTTCTTAATATCAAAATTTTATTAGTATTGTTTTCTTCTATTATTTTTAGAAGTGATTTAAATAATGAATAAATATTGAATTAATATTGAAAAAAAATCTCATTTGTTACATTTACGATTTTGGAGCTTATAACTACTACGCTGTAACATATTAAGTTTACATTAAGATTATACATTGTTGGTTTTTTGCATTGTTTTACGTAAAGTGGTAAATGTTAATATTATCATGAACATGAACAGGATAACCCACATTTTCTAACTTTAATCCGGACCATTCACCTCCTTATTTAACAAGAGCATAACACATAATTTAAACTTATAAAAACTTTTATAGACAATAATAGCATGTGACAACTAACCATTATTGCTTTAAACCCATAAAGATAATACAAATTTGATAAGACATTTATTGTTCATATGATTTTATGAAACGAGTAACAATAATATTATACTGCAAAGAATAATAATTTTTGCCATTGTTCAACCAATTTATTGTTATTATGTAACTAGATCGATCGGTCATTCGTTCTTCGAATTTCGAATGTCGAATGTCGATGTACACGAATAACTATAAATAACACGTACGTACACAAATCTTTAACACTAATAATTTTATTAATAATTTATTAATAATTTAATGTTCATATTGGTCCGAATATGGTAATAATGGTAGTAACGCCATGACCAGTCTTGAATAGTCTTAAATAGTCTTGAATTAGCAATAATACAAAATATTATGCCCAAATTCGGGTTTAACGTATATAGGACATATTCAAACCTTATAGAGAACCTAAATTCTCGATTTCTTTTAATAACGTCTTTTTCATGATGAATGATGAATGATTCGAGTAATCCTTACATGTTTTCTCGACAAACCAGTATTGTTAAGCAGTATTGTTAATTAGTATTGTTATGGGATTTTATACAATATAGTACTGGTTTAATGTAAATTATTGATGCCGCTCAAATAAAAAATGAACCGTTATCAGCGAAAAATAAGTGATGACTATTCTATACTAAGATATGAGTTTTTTCGATGTTCTCAAGTTCTTTTTATCAATTGTTCGTTTTGATGATGAGTCATCAGTAGCGTTAGGAAAGGGAGGCTTAAGAAGTATTGTGAGAAATTAATGGTATCAAGTTTGGTGAATTTTTCACATTGAAAAGGCTGAGTCGTTATGTATCTAAGTTACGCTTAATGTATTTATTATATTGTATATTGTATAATAAAATATATTATAACGTGCAAGTTTCGGGTCATTCAGATTGACCTGTTCGGAACACTAATTGCATCCCTCTTCAAGGTAACCTTCCCCTCGGGGATTTCTCTAGAAGTCGAGATGACAGTAAAAATATTATCATTGAAATAATGGATTCAGAGGAGTTATACTTAATAAAAAAAGTAATTACGGCATTTAGGCAGCCGAAATTTGTCTTATATAGTGCCGAAATTACAGCTATTTGATAAAATTTGCCGAATGATTTTTTCGGCCGATACGGTTAAGTTATTGATTTCGGCATGGTTATATATATTTTACATATATATAATACGTTTCATACTTGTTCTACCGATTATAATATCGACACATTCAACGTTATTAAATTTTCATTTGAAACATATTTGTGTGTTCAGTTTATGCGAAAACTTATGAAAAAGATTATTCTTGTTAACCAATAAATTTTAACAAGAAATATAAAAAACACGGATGCGTATAAATTTATAAAATAGAAAAACTAGATATAAATACAGTATATATAAAATATATACTTTTTTTATGTGCATATCTAAGTCGGTATATAACTTTTTAAATTGTAATGCGACTAATTTTATACCCCAACCAAAGTTCCATTTCGGATTGTAGTTCATACAAATACTACGTAGTCAGGTTTTTCATTCATAAAGGTTTTAAGATATTATATTATTCATGTTTAGTAAATGTGGTTTTCTTGAAAGTTATAGAAGTTTTTCAATCTCTTTTGAAAGTGCCCGAGAACCCAATTCATTGAATACGTTTGACAATTTTTCGAACAAACCTAAATTTTTTTGTAACCATTTGCCATCGAAGTTCTTTGAACGTATCATAATTCTGTATTCAACCAAAGATATGCAGTTATATAATCTGTAATATTTATATTTAGTTGTCCGATTTTAAATTACGTATATCTGTTATTGAATCTATCATTTCCGAAATCACAAACTTAATCGAATCGGCCGAAAAATCGTTCAGCTAATTTTTACAGGAGTCCCAGGAGTCCCAGGTATAGTATAGTTATTTCGGAGAGTTTAATATAAAAAATTTAGCAATTCCAAAATGTTTTCCGAAAATACTTGTTTTTTCAAAAATAATTTATGCACATGTATAGTTTATTTTTATTCATCGTTTTGTTTTTGTTAAAATTGAATTAGACCTGATCATCCAACCCTATGTGAGAACGTACAATAGCAATAGGTGTTCTCGAAATATTGTTCTATGTTCACAAAAAAAAACAATAGACCTATATTAGAAGATGAATATTATAGATGAGAACACTTTTATTATTTTACTGTTCACAAAAAATTTTTAATAGTAAACAGTAAAAAATTTATGGTGCTCTCATGAGAACTCTGGGAACACCAATTTCGAACACTGTATGTGATGATTAAATGGCTGTCAGGAAATGAGTACATACCTTCGAAATCTGGGACTATTGTGGATAGGTATGAGTGCGTATATATTTAAAAGTAGAGCGGTTGAAAGAGAGATAATGGTGCGTATATGTAAGATAGTAGTAGATTTAAATTATAGGATCCGTATCATTTCACTGACAACTTGGTTCACCCACAATTAATTTACATTAATTCACAGACAAGTTACATTTCATCGTTTATTTCACTATGATATTTTGTTAAAAAAAAAAAAATTACACCAACTTTACTCTAATTCGAAGCAATGATCAGAATTACTTTGTCGGTGAAATGAGCTGTTAATGAAATTTCACAGAAAATTCGCGTCTAAACCTATCTTGGCGACGCTGGCGTTTTTATTCACAGACAAGTTCATTTCACAGACAGTTAATGAATATATGCCTAATTTGATCATTATTTTATGATACGTATTTTCCAAATTTTCATCAATATCATCCAAATTTTGCAAGAACCTTATAAATTATATCATAACATTTTCTACATTGATCACAATTTCTTTAGTATCAAGTAAGATAACGACAACCTCTTTCTCATGTTTACAGTTTTCGCTATCTTTAATACGTGCTAAACATTGGAAACAAGTTTTTTTTTTTTTCTAAATAAAAATCCCTAATGTTTATAATTTGACATTTACAATCTAATGAATCCATAATGATAATAATATTTCATAATACGGTCAACTCTGAATCTAATGAACCTTTCTATAACGAACTCTAGATATAATAAACTCAAAATTTTAAAATCTCACAAATATCTCGGTATAAGAAGTGTCATGTTCTCTAAAGTAAAACATAGTAATTTCCTATAATGAGTCAAAACCATCAGTTTGTTATAGAAAAGAGTTGATTGTATTTGGAAAATTTTCTATTCAAAAAGTAATATAATAGACTATTTTGGCGTTAGGAAAGGAAATATATATTTTGAATACCGAACGTAACTGATCTTTGGGCGATTCTTGGTTCGTGCAAATATAATAGACTTCTGACATCAAACTCGAATGTTTTTAGAATTCCAGTATACATACTTACATAGATCTCAATTTCGTAAATGTTATATAAAAGATCAGATATCTATGGCTTTTAAGTAATCCATTTGATGATCTCCTGAGAAAATAAAAATCCTATAAAACGCATATTCAATAGTAGGATTATCATTCCAACATCTTTTGATTAATCTACAATTTCTTTTGGTGTACCATAAACAATAGGAGACCTACATCCTGCAATAATATTTTGCGTTAAATCGGAATTACAGAATCGTAAGGTGGTTTTCCAGATATAGTCTCCCACATAATCATCCAAAACCCGTATATGTCAGCTTCATGTCCATATGGTTTACTGTTTAACACTTCTGTCACTACATATGGAAGAACTCTACATAATTTTGAAGGATCAGTTATCTTACAAAACGGTCTATAAAAAAAAATTCATTGATTTTAGATAGGTGGTTATCTAAATAACTTCGCTCAAAGTTTAAAAAAATTTACATCAATTAGAATGTTGATGTTCAAGTAGAATCTCATTTTAACGACGGCAGAAAGATTTATTATCACGTGATATAACCTCCAATCAGATTTCGAAATCAGATGCAACGTGAAAATCAAAACAATAACAGTGAAATTTTCTCACGACAACGTTGCAAGATTTTTACGACAACCGTCACGATGACCGTTGCAAGATTCTCACGACAACCGTTACAAGATTTTAACAGTTAATTATTCTTACGACAACCGTTGCAAGATTTTAACTGTTAATCATACCTGATCTTGAAACAGTGAAATTTTCTGTTGCAAGATTTTTACTACAACCGTCGCGACAACGACAAACATCGCGACGGCAACCATCACGACGACAACCATTACAAGATTTTAACAGTTAATTATTCTTACGACAACCGTTGCAAGATTTTATTCGCCAAAAATAACGACTTTAGTTATTTTTTAATTCAAGATTCCTGTGTAGTAAGTACTTCTATTATATAGTTGTAAATCCTGCGGTCTACCTTTTTATTTGCTTCTGCTAGTTGTGGTGTATCTGATTTGAGAGGCTCCACTACAAGGAAAAGACCGATGATTTCTTTTTTTGCGGAAGTCATGGCGCCGGTGATTTTTCGTGGAAGTTAAAAAATGTGCACTAAATTATGCGCTATATCATTTAAATACAGTTGAAGCTTTGATGAAGTTTACAAAGAAATTAAAGAAATTAGTAACGATATCAAATAAAAGGCCTTGTACTAGCGGAGTGGTTAAGAAGATTTGAGGTGGGAGAGGCATGGGCAGTTTGTTGTAGTTCCTGGAGTAAGATCTACTGGTTCTGTATGATGAATTGGTACGTTTCTTATTCTGTTAAGGGAGCTTTGTATTCTGCAAATGAAAATAATTATTGTATGTATACTATAAATGAAAATAATTATGTTGTATTTGCTTTATGATAATTGTCATTAAGTTTTTTTTTTTTTTTTATATTAGTAGTTAAAATGAAAGAATTAGAAACCGTACGCCTCTAATTTCTTTAGACGTAAAGTAGAAAATTTGGACATAAAAATGTACGGCGAAATGGAATTACAGTTAAAGCTTGTCATAACGAATTTTTATATTACGAATTTTGTCCTATAACGAATTATTTGATTTTTTTATAAATAGAATAATTAAATATAACGAATTTTTTATAATAAGTCTTACTATAACGAAAGTATATTATAAATATAACAAAATATATTTGATTTTACCGAATTTTTTTTTTTATTATACCGAATTTAATATAGAAAAGTCGCTTAAAACATTTAGATCACATGATATAAAAAATAACTGATTGGCTATTAACAAAAGATAAATTTTAAAGCACTATGTGACATTCTCATTTATTGGCTGTAGTGTTTCGCACGGACCGGATCGGACGGATATTTCTAAGGATTCGGATTCGATCCGAAAAACCGAATCGGATCCAAGCTTGGAT